TATATATATATATACCTTTGTTAATATTACTTTTGTCGCAAGTAACCTTGAAAATAATCTTTATATAAAACTGCTGCGTAAAATTCATATATTTAACTCTTAGCATTGTCATTGTATTTTCAGCTTTACTCATTAAAATTATAAGCTATACTTGTACTTCTTTTACACCTCGAAGTAAACAACCAAATCAAAAATATAATCAAAATTTGCATTTCATACTAAAAGCAATATCATTTCCATTCATTCACTCACTCATTCATTCATTCATTCATTCATTCATTCACTACTTATTCATTAATTCACATTCATTATCAAATAATTTTATCAATCGAATAATTAATTCACAGTTTTGCTTTATGCTTTGCTTTTATTCAAAATTACACTAATCTCTCGAATTGATCAATCACATTTATTACCTAAACTACACTGATGCCAAAAGATTATTATTTCAATGAATACAATAAAAATAACAAATTAAATCTTTCATACAAATTTTGATAATAAAAAATTACACATTTAATAAATTACATGCATGTATTACAAAAAAAGTAGTATTGCCTTGAAAGGAATAAAAATTATGCGATTTATTTCAATAAAACATTAATGCATACTTTCTAATATAAAATAATTGAGAAGATTGCTAACTTCACATGTAAGCAAATATTTTAAAGGCATCAGTAGCCACTGCAATGGCTAAATATTATTGCATTTGCTGATCGCACATTGAACACATACATCGTTTTGCCTTTCTTTCTACTCATATTTATAATAAAAGTATGAAAATTTAGCAAGGATGGATGTGTGGCAGCAGCTAAAATCCCGTGTGATAAAGCATTTTCTACTTTTGTACAGTAATGCTTTTTAGCACAAAAAATAAAAACAAAAGTGAGTGACTATCATAAATTTTGCTTAGCTACAATTAATTAAATCTAATTAATACAAATAAATCTTGAAAATTTTTGATTGACAAAAAAACTGATACAAAAAATTTGTTCATTTTGACAAAAATAAATTTTGAGTAATTAATGCCATGTTAAAGCCATGTTATTTTTTAATGCTTTATTGAATAATTAATGCCATGTTAAGGTATTTTTTAATACTTTATTGAATAAACATGTTAAGGTATTTTTTAATGCTTTATTGAATAAACTTTATGATAAAGTTAAACTCATAATTGTATAAAAAAATTTACCAGGATATAATTTAATATTAATTATTGTTTGATTTGATTTGATTTGATTTGATTTGATCTGATTTGATATAATCAAACAAGTTCAAAAAACACACAAAGAAAAATGCTTTTATTTAAACTTCAATAAAGAATGTAAATAAATCTAAGTATTTTACAATCCTTTTTTTATTCTAGATTTTTTAAATTGATTTCGTTCCTTGTTATTTTTGTATAGAAAAGAGATTATCAAAAATGACAATACAAACGATAAATACTACCATTTAATATTTACTGTAAGCATTATACTAGGAAATGGCAAATTTTTAAAACTTAAAATTAAGTAAAAGAGAAAGGAAGTATATTTGATTGGTAAGTAAACCAATTGAATTTATATTTGTTTATTTATTTATTTATTTATTTATTGAAGTTGATGCTTCTTTGTTAAGTTACACATGCAAATATATTATTGGTCATTGCTTTGAGAAAAAAAAATATGCAAATAAAGTCAAATTGAAAAACTTTTAGCAATAAAATGTGCAAATATTTATATCAGAAGTAAATTTAATTACAGATTAATGGCTAAAAACTTACGTTTAATTGTATTTATCATTTTTTGTTTTTAATTTGAAAAATAAAAAATGTCAATTTTAGAATAACTTTTTTTTTTCTTTAAATATTTGAACAGTTTGATACAATGTATAAAATATTCAAAATTATATAAATAGCATATATAGAAAGAAAGGTATATAGAGGTGGAGTTTAAAATTATACTGATTGAGTAAGTACCGATTGACTTAACCTATATAAACTATTGGTAGCATAAAAGGGAGGAAGTTGATAGATTTTGTCGTGACAGGTACTGAGGTATATTTAAAGTAAATTTCAGGTATAAAGTACCTCTTGTAGTAACGGTGCCATTCAACTCTTTGTCACTATTCACTTCCTCTTCTTAATTTTTTCAAACTTTTTAGCTAGCTAGTAGTAATCAAAGCTGAAAGAAAAATTTTTGATTAAAAACCAAAAATTTTTTGAGTAATTTGACTTGTAATGCTTAGACTACAGCAAATTATTCTACTTTTGGTCATTACAGCAATTACTGTCTTACCTTCAGGTATCTTTTTTTTCATATATGCTAATTTTTAAACAATTATTGATATGGCTTTTTTTTAAATAACAACTAAAGGATATACATATTTTTAAAAATTATTCAACTTTTGTGAAATAAATCAAAAATATTCATATTATAAAATATTTGAATGCAAAACGTATTTTCATTACCAAGTGAAAGTAAGCCAGTTACACCCAACAGTACAAAAAAATAATTAATACTAATGACTTTGTAGATCTGTAGTCATTTGCAAAGTATGTATTTATATGTTTTGCGTATGAATAAATGATATTTATATTCAACATTTATTATTAATATTATTGCAATAGCATTTCAATGAAAATCCCAACTTTGTAATTTTTTGATAATAATATTTTACCTACTTTTTAATGAATTACAAAAGCAAGAAATCAAATTACAGAAGTTAGGCACGCAGAGCTGTCACGTGAATGGACTGAACCGAAAGATGACTCGTTATCACAACCAACTCATGATTTAATTGCTTCTGTTCCTGAACCCAATGATCTTGCCGCAACAATACTTAAAATATTTGGTTTTGGAACCAAACCAACATTTGCAGAAGTTCACTTTACACGGACGACAAGTGAAGCTCCTGAGATTCCACGCAGTGGCGTAAAAGTCAGTGATAGAGACGGTTAGTACCTTTTTTTGCTTTATTGAAGTATCTGATTTTAACTTTTTCTCAATTTATTTGACTATTTACAGTTTATAATTGCTAAGAATTATTTTGGGAATTTATTTTGATTATATTTAGCTAATGAAAATTTATAATTTATAATAATAGTTATTTCTAGTAAGTACTAAGCAATTTGTAATTAACCAAAGCCAAAGTGTTTTTTAGTACAGTCACTTACAGTAATATTTGTACAAGCATAAAGCAATGTAAGTACTATTAAAACTATTAAAAGTTCAGTTGTAAGATCTAGAATTTCGAGATAAGCACAAATTTTGAATGCTTTGTTGTGAATTTCTGTAAGACTAAATTTGATCCAAAGAAACATTTTCATATTAACAGCAATATTTGAATTGGTAAATCTTAAAGGATATTTAAGTAATGCATTTATGTATTGAATATTAATTGTAAAAGTGGTAAAATTAGCTTTGTTATTGATGTAGTATGTACGGATTTATTTGTTTGCATAACTTATAGTTGATTGTGCAAATGTGCACAAATGAATGAATGCTTTAGTTTAAATTGTGTGATCATTCTGAGTATTGAATACTAATAAAATTCAAAAATTTACAGATATTTAGTATTATTAAATTATATACTTTGTTATGTGAATATTTGCACACATTCAATATAGATCAAATTATGTCTTTCTTTGGAAATGCCATTTATAAACAAATAATATATGATACATTTCTGAGTACATATATACGAAAATTAACAAACTACAATTTGAATTAACTGACATTAGTAGTTTAGTTTCTATGAAATTCGTACTAAAATTTTTAGAATGAGAATTACAAATGAATTATACTAAAAGCAATTAATGATGATTTTTTTAAAATAAAAATAACTCGTTGAAATTAGCAGTAAGTAAAGCATAAAATGATTGAAAGAAATGATAAAATTTTCATTTTTTTTTACTTTCATTCTTGTTATCATTTAATTCAATCAAGCAAATATAAGAGTATTAGTTTTCTCGTAATATTAAAATAACAAAAAAAAAATTGGTACTTAAATATTCAATATATCTGTATAGTTAGTTCTTGCTTCTAAATTCTTTAATCATTTGAACTAATTACTGCATTACTGTATTTTAGTCTGTGCTTTTGGAGCAGATCCATTGACTATATTTGGAGAATACAGTTACTGCAAGCCAACAACAATTGGTGAATGCCCTGCTGGTTTTGTATGTGATTACAGTATGGCATTAGGTCGATCAATTTGTTGTCAAGATATGCGCAATTTACCAATCATTAATATTAGAGTAGAGCCAATAATAAGTAAGTAACTTAGTTAGCATTATTATCATTTAACTAAAATTTGAAACAAACATCATTTTTAATAAAAATTTTAAGTTTTTACAATTAGAATTAATTATTTACTGACTTGAAATTGATTTAGTCTTATATCGACAAATTTAATTTAAATTTCCTCAACTAATAGAATTAAAAATTTCAGTGATCAAATTTAAAATTTATTTTATTCTTAATATTAAGAAAATCATTTTGTCATTACTTGTGTTCTTCGTTGCTTTTTTTAATAGCTAAATTTTCATTAAATAATCGTTTTATCCTTATATTCAAGCGATAAATTTTAAGGACTAAATTTGCTAAATAAAAATTTGTATTTGCTTAGCTTTCGCTTTTCAAGTATCATGTTTACGTTTTCTGAACGCTTCTGTGGTTGATATTTGAATAATTGCTTTTCGCTTACATATATTTTTATCTCAAATGATTTATGCTAGCAGAAAAAGCAAAAATCTTTGGTCAATTTTTTTTTCCACTTCTTATATCTCAGATTCAACATCAAAACCTCAATTAACAACATTTTCATCAAAACGATCAAAAATGACTACTCGTTCACATGGTTGGCCATCAACAACAGTAAATCGTCGATTTCCATGGTATACCAAAGATAGGTGCGTCAATATTGCGTGAAAAAAGCATTGGACTTATATAAATCAATATTATAATTTTAACCTGACACATATTTTTTACCAGAATTTCAATTTTCTACAAGTAATCATTTCTGCTAAAAGAATCAATTTTTTTTTTCAAGTTGTACTACCATTCATATTAATACAAGTCAGGAATTTGCAAAAAAATATTCCCTAATAAAAAGAAATACAAAATGCTTTTTTTGCTTTAATCTTGACTTTCAAAATTTAATTAATAACTCTGTACTACAGACTTAACAATAATTCTATAGAAGAGCACTGTACAGAATTCCATGGGATGCAGCTGCACATAGACTTGTACCTTCCAGGACAACAACTATGTCGATAACGTCAACGATATCAACAAATTTTTTACGCGAAAAGGGTCAACAGTATGCGTCCACAGAATCTACTAATCATTCGAACAAGAATATGCTGCCGCGACCAACTGACCAACATGTTGTCACTACTCCCAACAAAACAGCCATAATGTCAGTAATTTAGAAAACTTTTTATTACTGTCATAACTTTTCTAAAAACTATTATGGAAAGAGTAAGACAAAATGTTTATTATTATTATTTCATTTTCTATTTATGAAATAAAGTTGTGCTCAGCGTAACTTATTTTTGAAAAATTTTGTAAATGTATATATACACGTACATGTAAATTATTATTAATGAAAAAATATGCTTGTTTGCTTAATTATATCTATTCTAATACATTTTCCAATAAATAAAAAGCAGTAGCATAAGGATGATTTTATTGAATTACTGATTAAAATTTGTGGCAATTAGTAATGAGCAATAATTACACAAATAACTTTAATTGCATATATGAATGATTGGTATTAAGCTAATACGTAAGGTTTGAAGTTCAGACTTGCTTTCCACGCTCTATTTGAATATATATGAATAAAAATGTAATATAAATAAATCAACAAATAAATAAATTTTTTCTAGAACTAAACAGTATAAAAAATAATTACTTTTTTAGTTCACCAGATCAAAAATACGAAATATCAAATGAAACGGAATCTGATTTGTTCAAAAATTCGCTCCAAATATTTCAAACAACACTTACACCACCTTTAACACAAGTAGATCGTCTTATATCAGTATCTCTAATACAAGTAGGAGATATCAAAAAACTAACCGATAAGCAAATGTATATCGCTGGAGCAATTACACTGATTAATGATCACGGGTATCAAGTACTGGTAGACACAGGGTCTGCATCTGATACTGAATCACTTCTACAAGGTTGTATTTATACTATTTGCTTTTTCTTTCATTCTGAATCTTATTTTTATACAATTGATTGGTAGATTCAGTTAACAAGCTGACTCTGAAAAATTGTGCTTTAAATAACAAGTTAAATTAGCATTACAACTAAACCAACAGAAGCTAATTTTTTGGTTGACTCATTAGAAGTAAAGAAAGATAAGTTAAATATTTAAATTTTATTTTTAACAATAATTTATAAATAAAAATGTTGCATTGTATATAAAACAAAATAAATATTTTCCAAATTTATCAAACAAAAAATTGAGTAATAATTGTTATGCATTTGTGTAATTGCTTCCAGCAATGAGAGATATATTTTAGCATAATTTACTTTACAGCCCTATGATGATTGAATTTTAAGATTAGGAAAAAAATGATGCAAAAGAAAATATTATTATTAAAAAAGGATGCATTTTTTGGAAGCCAAATATATTAATATTCAGTCACTTACTTCTTTCCTTATTGCTGAAAGATAAGCGGAAAAATAAGCACAACTTTTTCAATATTTGATTAAATAAAATGACAAACTATACTCTCTACTTACTTTTACTTTTCGTATGTAACGTTGTCTAGTGATAGAACTATTTGAATAAAAGTTTTTTTTTTTTTTTTTTCGCAAAATTTAATAATTTTGTTTTTTAATTTTCAAATATTGTATTTATGATATTGATAGTTCTGAACTATTTTTTTAATCTGTGCTATTTAATTGATTCAAAAATCGAGCAAAATGATTTAGATAACTTATTATCTTCAGAAACCTTTTGTTGTTGTTCTTATTTTGCTTCTTCTACTCTTTATTACAACTATTTCATACTGCTGCTACATAATAACAATAAATTCTATCTAATCAATTCTGTATTCTAATTTGCATATTTTACTGTTTACACTTCATTGCTGAAACTAGTTTTTTTCTTTTTTTTTTTTTTGCATTATTTGAATGAATTCAACTAAAAAACATTATATATTCAATTATTTTGGGCAAATTTGGTTTGTTTATTTATTGCTCAATGAATTCTGAAAGCACAAATATTCAATCACGTATTAGCTTCTATAAGAAACACTTGAAATTAATTAGTTTTTTTTTCTGCCTTCTTGATTTGATATTTTTCATTGGACCACTATGGAAAGCATTTCATCTTTATATAAATACAAGGGTTTCTTTTCAATCTTTTTGAAATATTTTTTAAACACAAAAAATAATCAAAAATTATTGAGTACTATTAAATGTACAGTAAAATTATACCAAAAATAAAACTAAGAAAGTTTCTAAATTCAACTTTTGCTGAATGACACTCTTTAGGGTATTTTTGAATTTTAATCAAATTATTTATTATCATTTTAATTTGTTTAATTACTTTTATTTACTTTCAACTGCAGCATAAATTTTCTTCTCTATGAATATTAAAATAATAGAATTAAATTAATTAAATAAAAAATTGACAAATAAATAATCATATTAAAAATGAATATTTTTTTATCAAAATTTGAGCAAATATTTAATCATAATAATCAGCATATCATTTAACTACTTGCTTACTTTTTGATTAATTAAATTTAAGACTTTTAATGATATTTCTTCTTTTGCGTGGAACAAATCAACAATAACCACATGGCTAACAGCTTGTATTTTACTTTATGCATCAGATTTGATCTGTATTTTGGCTAACATTTATGGATTATGTAAAAGCCAACCGCTCTGGATGATTCCAAAGCTAATCCTGACTTTGCTAATTATTTTAATTGGTTTTATAAGCACTTGTGTTATGGGCTTTCTAATTTGGAATGAATCATATCTATTACGTTTATTATTTGCTGACAAACAATATATAGAATATTATACAAAAAAATCAACAATGTTACTTATTGGAGGTGGAATATTTCTTGGCTGCTTCTTTGTCTCTGTACTACAATGCTTATCATTAAAAGTACTGCTAAACTGTTTTGAATATGTGCAAGAAATTCATATTGAAAAGCTTACTGATAAAATAAATCGACAAGAACAATTACTTATCAAACAACAACAACAACAATATGAAAACAATTGCCTATAAAAGTTTTGGTATTTATGACTGGAAAATTTTGTAGACAGATTAAGTTGTAACTTTATAAATTTATAAAATTTTCTGATCGTTTTTCAAAGTTATATTTTATTTGAAGTTGTTCAAAGATTAGGTCAAAGTTTGATCGCTAAAGATAATTTTTTAATTTTTTTGTATTTTTAGTTTTCAGGCACTTTTGTATTCATTCATATTTGTGATTTTGAATTTGAAACAATTTATTTTGTCAATTACATTAAAAAACATTTCAAAAAGTTGACTCTATGAAGTAATTAACATCAGAAAATTGTTACTTTTTTTTTTATAAAAGTTGGTATGTTTTTTATGTTAAGTAATAAAGGAAGACGATCAAGTTTGATCATATTTATCAATCATATTTCTATTAGAGCACGATAATGCATGATAATTGACAGCAGTGAAATGAAAAATTTAGAGAAAAAAATGGTTTTCAATATGAATTAGACTTATTTTTAATTCATAATTTTATATTAAATTTCAGGTCTTTCAAAAGAAATGGTTTCTATGGATGAAATAGCAATGATTGTAATCACAAGTGCACACCCAAACAATGTTGGTAACTTAAACTTATTCCCTCAGAAACCAATACTTTTTCATACTATGGAATACACAGGAGAACATGCAACTGTTACCGAACTTGTAAATGTATGGTTACAAATTTAAACAAGATGAATAGATTACTGAAGAAATGAATTATAAAACATTTTTGCATACTGTATAATTTATCAATTCAATAAATTTATTATCGAAAAAAATTAACGAGATGAAATTAAAGAACCAAAAAAAAAAATTAGATAATTTGAATTCCGAAAGATCATCAATTTATTGGAAGTAAAATTCTTGATAAAGTTCTGTAACTAATCATAACTATACAATAAATTAAAAACTATCATTATAAAACTGACAGATAACTCAAAAACATGAAATCCTAGTTCACATATTCATTTAAAACCATCATAAACTTCAAATCGTAGTTGTAAATGTAAAAACATTGTATTATTTTTTCAGAGACCTTATCGAAAATTAACAGAAAATATTGAAATTTGGAAAACTCCTGGTCGTACACAGCAAAGTCTTAGTGTTTTAGTTCATAATGTAGAAGAATATGGTACAATAGGAGTCGTTGGTGACTTGATACCGACAGAAAATTACATTATCAGCAAGGTATTATTGTCAATCTACCAACTAGCCGATTAATAATGCTAAAACTGTTTTTTTTATTTGAAAAATTCATTAATTTTTTGCCATTCTACTTCTGATAATACTAATTACTGATGTAATGCCGAATAAATTCTTATGTTTTACGTATCGTTAAAGATTAATTAGAACCTTTTATACATTTTTTTTTTCAAATCTGATTCATCCCTCTACAGACATACGACATTTGAGGGCTGATCACATTTTTTAATGTGTTATATTTTTAAAGACAAACAAAACAGCTTATAACATTATGGAAAATATAATATACAGTTACATGGTATGACGGGTCAAACGTCATATACGACGTATATTAGAAAAAATGATTTATGCAACAAATATAAATAAATAAATGCTTCTAAATATGAAAAATGACTTCTACTTATTTATAACAATGATAAGCTTAATTAATTAATTTTAAGATATTATCTGCATGCCATTGAAAAAAACAATGTTTTTTTCAATGACTGTTTCTTAAACTGCATTAAAATTATTAAAAAATGAATAAGAACTTTGAAGAGCAAATAAATATTTGCAGACAAATCTAGACCTCAATCTTGATGAAAGTGTTTGGGATTCACTTATTAGAAGACAAAATTCAAATTTAATCATATGCTTAGCGGATTGGATCATTCCTGGATATGGCCATCCGTTTAGAGTTTTGCCTCGATACAGGTACTACTTCCATCTTTCTCCATGCATTAAATCACTTAATTTCAAATTATGCACTTTAAAATTAAATTACCTGAAATAATTAAATTTTAGACAACGAGCAGGTTGCACACGTTTACTAGCCCAGCGCAAGGCAGCGGGTAAGATGTAAATAATTACTATTCTCGCAAATAATCATGTCCATGGTCATAAATGTGTGTCGGGCATAAAATTGCATATTTAAGCCTTGTTGATTTTTTTTTGTCATTTTGTGATCAAAGTTGTTGTGACTATTACAAACATAGTAAATAAATCTTGAAACTGTAAATTTGTGAACAGTATTAACATTGGCGTAACAATAATGCTAATGATAGTGGAAATAATAGTAGTAATACTGATAATAACAATAATATTTACAGAGTAATCATAATAACATACAAATGAAAATAATAATAAATAAATAAAAATGGTCGTCAATTCTGAAACAAAAAAAGACTGCACTTACGTACGCTTTCCAATTCAGTGTACAGAATTAAATGGTCAAACAAGAAAAGTAATGAAAAATATTTTGGAACGAGAAGTAGCATTTTTTGTGTTGATTTCTTCTGCTTCATTTTCGTTAAAATTATAGTGGTCATTGAATGATTTGCTTTTGCACTGTGGTTTAGATTTATGCTTCGAGGTGATCAGATATACTGATCTCCTTCGAGCAGCTTTTGTAGAATTTCGGTACAATCGCATCCCAAGTCACCAAATTAAACGGAAGTCTAATTAAAAGTTATGAGAATCCGTGTGCATTGAAATATCAAAACGTCAGATTCGAACTGTTCAGAAGACGATTCTATAGAAATCTGACCGAAAAGCAATTTGTCATCCACAAGAAACAGAAAAAATCAGGGATTTTTGGGTTACGATGTAGAACTCAGGGATAAGAAAGGATGATGATGTCCGGCACAATGAATATCTGGAAGAATTCGTTCCAGATGATAAAGTGCATCATACTTTCCCTTCTAAAGCCGAATTTGAGAAGACAGTTTCCTCTTTGCCTAATTAGAAGGTGGCAGGGCCTGATGGAGTCTATAACTTTTTTATTAAGAAGTACACTTGCTTGCATCCAGACCTGTACAAAACTGCCTAGATGGGCAAATATATATATAAATTTAGCGGTTTAAAAATAGTTTCTTTCTATGTTTCGAAAACAAAAAATAAAAATTATTCAAATAAGTTCATTATTCATCCTAATTTTAATAATACTAGAATTCAATGTGATGACTAGCAGTATCAAACTTCTTTTCAATTAAGGGTTCCATAAATTTTCACCTTTTAAAGTACCACTGGTGCGGAGCATTTCATTCATGGACCGCAAAAAATAAAGCCTTTAAGAGCTTGCACTTTGTAAGATGATTTTAGGGAACTGTTAAGCTGTGCAGTACGCATTTGCATTGATTGAGCTGGTTGAGTGAGGTCGGTACAACTTTATTCTGCCAAAATAGATCTATTCTTTCATCAACGCGAAGTAAGTGATCTTATCACTCACTACTATTATAAAAGTTCACAATATTCTTGTAGCTTCTAGCAAAATTTTACAGTTTTTCATCAGTGTGAGAGTCAGCACACCACATTAACGAAATTATAGGGCGATGAAGTACTTATTGCTACTATAAAGCATTACTGTCAATTTTGTTTGTTTAGTAATTTGATAAATTATTCAGTGTTGATAGTGAATGAAAAGGTCAATTTTGCAAATTATTCTCTCTCAGTCACATTATATTTGCATTGAGTTAAGAGATTAATTCGACTATTGAGCAAGAAGGAAATTATTGATACAAATTAATCCTTAGGAATTTTCTTATAATTGCAATCGAAACATTAAAATGTCATTGGTTAATATATTTTTTTCGGTCATGAATATCCGGTTTTCTCGCTTCAAAAACTTCACAAGTCATAAAATATTATAGCGAATGAGAATAAAATTGGTTGAAAATTTCTAAACTTTTAAATTTGATGGTGGTAGTTTTTTTTTTAATATTATCTCGTCACATGTGATGTAAGATACTACTATGAAGTTTAAGCAACATATTTCATTTCAGTTACCAATGGAGGGCTATGATTCAGATCATTCTGATGATGATGATGAATTAGATTTGTATCAAGGTTGTTATCTACTATCTGAAGCGCACAAGGGTATTATTGAAGCGATAAATTTGTTCGCTTCAGAATATAATCCTGCCTCGTAATACTTATTATTTTCTCATTGTTCAATACATTTTTTATCTTTTCTTGTAGTCCATTGTTTTTGTGTAAATCATTTTAAGATTCAGCGTATCTTCGAAAGGCGTGGAAGTCGTTATGATTGTGTTTCTGTGAATACTTCTAGCACAGTATTCCCATATAACTAAGATTCGTGTTAAATAATTATAAACATAAAAGAGAAATTTAAGGACGGAAACCAAAAAGAATTACTAACTCGTAATTTTATGATCAACAACTAGAGAGGTGCTGCGATCTTTGAGTAATCTTTGATTTTCGGTACCCAAGATCACGAATTAGATTGATCTTTGACATTGAAAATTAAAAATATGCGAGGTCCAAAGCATTTTCATAGTTCCTCATTTATAACTGTAACTTCCAGCCTGTCGGTTTCATCGTATTCTTTCGAATTAGCCTTACATTCACTACGTCGCAGTATGCTTGCCGCACATGTTCTTGAATTGTTTCCAACTCAAGTTTTCAATCGTATGTTTAATTTTTTCATCAAATCACTGTTGTTTCATACTTTCCGTTTTCGTCATATTTATGCTATCGTAGTTCGCCTATCTTTTGTGGCGCAATTGATTCTGTTTAGTATGTGTCTGTAGTAAAGTTTTTTAGTAAGAAGTCTTCGGAAAGCTTCGTTGACTTTTTCACTTCTTGTTTTTAGTTCTAATTCAAAAACACACCTGCAGTATGAGTTTGAATGATAAAACAAGGAGTCCAAAAATTATGAAAAATTTCTTTTCATCCGCAGCTATTGAAGTTCTAAATATATTTATACTTTTCCAAATTTCTGAGCTTTGCTTTTAGAACTAGCGATTTCGGAAGCTGGAGAACCGTCGGCAGCGGGCAAGATTGCATCACTCATTCAATCTAGTATTCGTCAAGCAGCTTTCAGTTCAGGCGCTGATTATATACCAGTAAGTTTAGCTACTGTCGTCGTTCTTATTTTTTATGGAAATTTCTGTTAAGCTTTCTATCAAATCGTTAAAGTGGTGGTAGTCTTAGTGTATTTAGTTTAAGAGTGTACAAATTAATAACTTATCGAAAACAGCAATCTTTCCAAGTTCAGTTTCATAAAAAAATTAGCATGGAAAAGTATGAGACTAAACTTATCATCGCTGTAATTGGATGGAATATTCAATTTTTAACTGTTTTAAATAAGAACACAAAAACCAATTTTAGGAATTTGAAGCTGAATCTGAAGATGCGGACGATAATATGTCGGGACTAGATTGTGTTTTCAAACTTAGACGCCACTTAGTCGACGTTATGCTGATGTGTTATGGAGTTGTCATATTGTATTTTGTAGCTAACAGCAAACGTCAGGCTGCCGATTTCATTCTTGCTTTGAATTTCAGCCACGAAGTAAATTCAATTTTTTCCTAAAATGTAGTTTACATCCAATTTAAAATATTAGGAAACTTTATTGACTGATTTTATAATGTGCGTTTGAACAAATTTTAAAATTGCATTGCATCCACTCTTTCAGACTGTCCGTAGTTTCTGACAAAATGTTCAAGAATTTTCTAATTATCATCCATTTTGACTTTTATTACTACTTTACTGCAGGCTTTATCTTTCATTCCTGGAACGAACTCATCTTTATTTGACAGAGAGTTGGTTCTCTTGCACGCCAGTGTTCTGATGAATTATTGCAATTTTCCGAGTTAGTTTTAAATTATGACTACTTTAATGAAAATTTTCTGAAAGCTTGAATGGTTTTCAGATGTTTATCATATTTTATTTCTTAGTCGCTGATTTCTTCATTCTAGTCTTTGATTCACTTTCTCACTTATGACTTTAATGTAGTTATCAGTGTTGCAGAGGATGTAATCAAGAAAGCTGGGAAAATCTGCATGCTGATGTTTGAAGAGGAACGACGACGACACTATCGTGATCTTTTACGTAATCACTATTTAATGAAACTTCACTCACCTTGCAAAGACAAATTTAAATACGGTGCATAAGATTTTATCTCTAGTTACTGGTTATTTACTTCATACGTTAATTTGGATATTAATAGGTTTTCCACCATATACTAGTAAAGTGCTGCTCTACTTCTAATGGGTTGATTGAAGTTAGAAAACGGGTTTTTGATATTTACTACATTTTAATAGTTTAGTGTTTATGAATGAAAACAGATAGCAAGGAAACCGGAAAAATAAGACAAAATTGTGTGCTGAGGTAAATTCAAGTTTTTTAAACAATCACTGGTATCTTCTAAAGTGGGTGTTTGTTTAATTTTGTAGTCACGTAATGTACAATGAAAAAAGTAAGGTAAACGGAATTAATCTTATTTTCAAGGATGGTATTTATGGGGTTAATTCTTTGATGACTACTTTATGATGAAGTAAATTTTTCATATGTTTTCACTAGATGAAGGAAGGGTAAATTATTCTATTTCTTGGTGTGACCTGCGTTTTTCAGTAGTTGCCAGCTAAAACTAGTGCTATGAAGTTTATTATTTGACGTTATACCAGTTACTGGTTTATCAAAATTTGTTCATTATTTTATGGCTCCGATGCATCGAAAAATATCTTAGTTTCGTTTCGTTTCTTGTAAAATCTTTTTACCTGTGTAGGAAGTTTGTGTATCTTCACTGCATTTGCAGTTTTGTTCATTCGCAGTTAAACCTGCTTAAACTTACTTGTAGATTGAGCTTTGTTGGTTTCAGATGAAGCGAACGAAAAGTTCTTGTGAAAATAGTTCTGATATTAGTTCTAGTGTTTTATTTTACGTGTCAGCCTTTTACTGGTTGATTTTATCTGCATTGTGAACTTTTGCTAATCGATCTCTGTGCCCTTTGTTTTTTGTGTCTTCAGTATCTGGTATTTCATTTTTATTTTTTTATATATATTCATTGTTTTTTTGTTTCTTGAAATAAATGCTTAAGTTATATCGTATCTGCTTAATCAAATGCTTACGTCAAGGGATGTCGTTCCATTCATGTTCGTCCTTAGAAAAACAGCTATGCAGCAGTATATTTACCATGGTTTTATCTCTCTGCTTGTGAAATAACTGGAGGTGTAAATAGTTTTTAATAATGGAGAGTGAGATATTTGCATTATTAGAGATGGGGATTATGGGAGCAGTAAGGGTTGAATTGTATCTTGTCATTGCAACGTACTAGTTTTATGGTGTTAGCAATTCAAGTCTGGACACAATAAAAAGTGGTTTCAACTGTAGGTGTTACTAGAATAAAGGTCATTTTCAATGGTTACGAAGGTTATAGGAGACATTTTGGTCAGATTTGTCCTCACATTTTATCATTCGTTTTCATATATATGGGGTTATCGATTGTTGCTATTTTCAGATTACTGACATTAAGATGTGCAGTTTACTGCTGTTAGTTAATTACTGATTGGTGACTTGAATAGATTGAGAAGTTTAATTTTGGGGTCTTTGGTGCTATACTCATATGGTTTAATATGTTCATTTTGTACACAAAGTTGGTGTTCGCTAACAAGTAAACCAATGTCTTTGTTAGATCTGTTGATTTGTACGAATTGATAGTACAGAATTCTTGGAGATTGCTTAAGCGGATTAAAAATGTGACGGTAAAAGTGGTCGACGAATCAAAGTATATTTAAAATATGGGTCTGTACGCTGAATGGCCGTTAATCGAATTTTCTCCTTTTGTTGGAACTCATTCATCACTGTCAATTTTTTCTAAGTATGCACTTAATTTCCAAGTAATTTTGAAGCTTGAAATGTGCACTTGCTATAGATTAATTTATAGAAGATGCTCTATTTTTTAAGAATGGTTTTAAATTGTGTGGAAGATATCACTGTAGTGGAATTACTGTTACACTAATATAATGTGTTCTGAGGCTTTTCCGAAACGTTGCAAATTTCTAGAGGAGTAAGCAATGATGTAGCGGAGTTATTATTGCATGAGATTGCTGAGAATTTGAGCAGTAACATGAGTCTAGGAATCGATACCGAAGAACAGCTCTCATGGGTTTTGGAGGTTTTTTTTTCATTTAAATTCAGTTATTGTACTTCATTTTCAAATTTATTCCATGTGAATAGAATGAGGGGTCACCAAATCGAAATAAATAAATAAATATATATATATATATATATATATATATATATAT